GCAGTGTGAGAAGTAGGGGAAAGTTCACCCTGAGAGAATGCCAACATTATGTCTCCGATCCCCAGTCCGAAGCTGACAACTTCCGTGCGGCCCATGCTGTGAGGCTGGAGTTAACCCTTTCCAGACCTGGGGAGAACATCGTGTGCTAAAAAATGATCCAGAACTACACCATCTTTCTGAAGAGATTCTTGTTGTTTCAGCACAACATTTGAAGGGAAATCTGTAGTCCACAGCAGACTGTTGTGTGATGTAATCTAATAACCTGGCCTGTTTCCAGAAAGGTGCTGATTAAAGACCAAGTACAATCATGCTTATAAGTGGAAAAGTCTGTTTTAAAATTGGAAAAACTCCACTGATATGTGATTTTGTAAATATTCCTTGCCAAATAACTGTGAAATAATGGGTATAGGCTGACAGTGGGTAAGAAGAAGTTCAGATGAGCATGTGAACTTACCACTCTCTTATTTTTTCCCCCATGGGTCCATGACTGGTCTTGGAATTTTCTACTGTCCCTTTTGTCTTCTTCTTTTAATATTGCAGCTGAAATAAACGTGACTGTCCTGGTTCATTGCGCTGTTCTAAAACCTAAAAGTGAGAAATGGCTTCAGCAGTTCAGTGAATAGGCCAGACTGTACAAGCCCACAGTGGAATTTTGCCAGGACACCAGGATTAACACTCCTACGCTCGTGAACAGTGCTGTGTGATATTTAATGCCAGCAGCCATATCACTCTGCAACTCCCAGCTGGCAGCCCACTGAAGCTCAGCAGGTGTGAGCCTGGTCAGCACCTGGATGGGAGACCTGGGAAAAACTAAGGTTGCTGCTGGAAGAGGTGTTAGTGGGGCCAGCAGGGGGTGCTCACACTGTGGTACAGGTGGGTCCTATTGCCCCAGTATAGTGAGGGGGACATAATACTGTAAAACAGGCACTGTCCTTCGGATGAGCCGTAAAAGAGAGGTTCTGACTCTCTGTGGTCATTAAAACAAATACCAGGGCGTTTCACGAAAAGAGTAGGGGTGTTACCCCGGCGTCCTGGCCAAATTTCACATTGGCCCTTACCAATCATGGCCTCCTAATAATCCCCATCTCTAAATGGCTTCATTACTTTGCTCTCCTCCCCACTCATAGCTGAGGTGTGGTGAGCGTTCTGGCGCACCTTGTAGTTGTGCCAAATTGCTGAATTTCGACAAACCTATCAATCCCTTTAGGACTAAAAGTGAATTCTCTGTAACTGTGTGACTAATGGGTAATTCATTCACACAGTTAAGGATTGCTACAGTGGAATAGCTATTAGAATTGATGGGAAGGTTTCCTTCTTAATTAACCCTGGCTATAGATAAACAGCATGGTTTTCTCTCAAAGCACTAAATACTTGTTACACCATCACTAGACTTGAGCTGTGAGTAAATAACAAAGAAAGAACCACTTTACTCTAAGAGCAGCCAATAAACTGGAGGTATTATTTCTTATTTACAGTAAAAGAAAACAATTTGCAATGATTGATTATTTTTGTCTCTGCACTGTTACAAAGGGACATTCAGGAAGCACTCAAGAGCTTCCACGGTTGATTATGTGGTGATGGCACTGGAGTTTTTCTACACTATGGCTCCTCAATGATGGATCTTGTGTTCCCCACCCACCACTCACATCTCGCACGTACAGAGAATGCTGCCAGGAGACAAGGCATGAAAATGACGTCAGTACTCCCCCCCCCGCCCCCAACCCACACTTCCCATATGTTCCTAACGTCACTGCCTGGCTGAGCATACGGGAAAGAATAGGAAATCCTTGAGCTGTGCTAAAGGCTCTGAGCTGTGCTTGTTCGTAGTGTGCAGATCTGCAGTACTGTACTGTCCATCCTGCTCTGCATGCATTAGAGAATCTGCATGCTTTTTCCTGAACTCCTTTGAAAAGGTGACTCATTTCAGACAATTTCTTTATAAGATCTTCCCTGCCATGAAAAGTCACATAAACTCAGTGTAATGGGCATGTCTTTGAAACAAAGCACAGAAAAACCCTAACTGGACATTTGTCCCAAATGCTTGGCAATCCAGCAAGCATTCATCCCGTTGGAAGAATGCATCTGTTAAAGGGACATTGTACCTTTTTTAAAGTTTACCAGGTATGTTAATTGAGACTCATTTATACAGTTGATTATTTATTGAAGCAGTTATTTGAA